CACAAAGCTGGGTATAATATCTAACTAGGCAGAGGTAGTCTTGGAATTGATGCTGCAGACCCCTAGACTGATTGTTCTGAGAGATTTCAACATTCGTGCCAACAGCACCTTGTCTAGACCAGCCCAGGATCTTATGTCCTCTCTAACCATTAGGGTCTCTTTCAGGTTCAATGGTCCCCCATGCTTAACAAAGGATATATGTTAATTTTTTTGCACTTAGTCTTTGGGGGAAGGTCTGGCTTGGAGCTGGAGGTTCACCCTTGTGTTGTGGTCTGACCACTGCCTCCTCAAGGCAGGGGTCTGTTTGGCACTAATAGGGTAGCCAGGCATAGCCTGGTAAACAGCAGGAGATGGGAGACATGGGAATTTAGTGGGGGGGCACAATTGGTATCTGCGCACAATGATGCATCTTCCAGCACAACCCAGAAGTGACATAATTGTGCCAGTGGTGATTTTCTAGCACTCACTATGGTTTCCATAGAGTTTTGGGATGAGTGCTAGAGCATCATCCACAACATGATGACATCACTTCTGGTCGCACCGGAAGTTGCGTCACCACATGGGGAGAACAAGCACGTCCCCCACATTTGCTGGCCAGTTTCCTCCCATTACCTAGCTGAGCAGTGGTCACAAGCAGGCAAATGGGAACCCTAGGCAACAATGCGCAGCAGGGGTGAAGGGTGGTTTAAATGATCTGCACACAGAGATATATGGATCTGACTGATTTCTGGAATGTCCTGGGGGATTTTAGAATCCCATACAACAGGTATGTTGAGACAGTGGTGGGAGCCTGGAATGAGAAACTACTAGAAGCTATTGATGTGGTTGCCCTCCATTGACTTTTCCCATCCTTGAGGCAGAATCTGACACCTTGGTTTACTACAGAGTTGGGTGACCTAAAGAAGACCAAAAGATATCTAGAAAAGTTTTGACAGGAAACTCTAATTGAATAAGAAAGACAGAAGTATAGAGCTCATGAAAAGACAGGAGAGCCGCAGGAGAGCAGCAAGGAAAGTATACTTCTCTGCATCAGCTTATTTGTGCCCAGCTCTGTTGTTTAATGTATTTTGACACTTGTTGACTCCAAAATCTGAGTTTCTAAATTTTAAGGATCTAATGATTAATTGTGACACTTTTACAAAAATTTTGACTGAAAAACTCTCTCAAATTCACTCCAGTCTGGATGCTGGTTGTAATATTGTTCAGACAAAAGAAATGTCTAGTGCATTGTCTGGTCCATTTATGGAACATTTTGACCCAGTTACTGAAATAGATGTTGACAGGATCTTGGGATCTGTGAAAGCTACCACTTCTGCTCTGGAAGGATCCTTGTCCACCCTGAATGCTGAAATCATAAGGAATCATGTTAACAAGTCCTTGATGTCCATCATTAATCAATCACTGACTCAGGGGTGCCTTCACTCAAAGAGGTGGTTATCCATCTCTTATTTAAAGAGCCACCCTTTACTACAGAATTATTATTTTTGCCTGGTCTTTAATTTGCACTTTCTGGGACAGTGATAGAGAATGGTTGAAGAGCAACTCTAGGTTTTCCTGGATGGTTAATTTGCTCTATACCCCCCTTTCAATCTCATTTCAGAACATGCTATGGGTAGAAGACAACACTGGATGATATCTCCATTTGATTGTAGACAAGGGCTATGTTTCTTTGTTGCTCTTACTGAATTTATCAGAAGCCTTTGACACTGTTGGTGGTGCAATCTTATCGAGGCATTTAGGGGGAGAAACAGGAATTAATGGAAGTGCTTTGGACTAGTTTAAATTGTTACTTATGGACTGGACTCAGAGCTCTCAGTTTTTACCAGTTGTCATCAGTGTGGGACTTGTCCCATTGTCAGGTTTCACCTGGAATCAACGGAGTCAATTTCCATAGAAAAGGTTACTTTATTGAAGCCATGGATCACTGAACAGGTCTCTGATTGGAATAACATAATGCGGAAGCACAAGCAACATAAAGGGAAATCAAAATCACTTTTAACCAATGATAAACATGGGGGGGGGGGTATTGGACATAGGAGACTCATATATACACTGAAAGACATTCATTGGCAGCTGGACTTGTCCCATGGAATTCCACAGGACTCAGTCTTATCTCTGTGATGTTTAATCCCTATGTAAAGCCTTTGGGAGAAATAATTTGTAGTTTTGCTGCTAACACCCCATCTGTGTTTCTTTATCCAAATCCCCCAATGATGTGCTAGAGGGCCTGATCCACTGCCTGACTGTTGTGGTTAAATGGTTAAGAGTGAAAAAAATTAAAACTGAATCCTGATGGAGATGATGTTGGGTGGGAAGACTGAGGGCTTGAAGGACATTGCACTTCCCACATTTTAAGGGATCCTGCTGAGCAAATCCTTCTGAGGGTGCCACCCTACAAACAACAGGTAAAATCAGGCACTGTTTCTACATAGTCTCAGAGGATACCTGTACTGGTCTGCAGTAGAACTAGAACATAAGAGATGCCAATGTTGGATCAGGCCAAAGGCCCATCCAGTCCAACACTCTGTATCACACAGTGGCCAGAAATACCAGTGCCATCAGGAGGTCCACCAGTGGGGCCAGGACATTAGAAGCCATCCCACTGTTGACCCCCCCAAGCACCAAGATGACAGAGCATCACTTGCCCCAGAGTCCCTATCTATACCTTGTGGCTAATAGCCACTGATGGACCTCTGCTCCATATGCTTATCTAATTCCCTTTTGAAGCCGTCCATGCTTGTAGCCACCACCACTTCCTGTGGCAGTGAATTCCAAGTGTTAATCACTCTTTGGGTGAAGAAGGACGTCCTAAGAATCAAGGATACACTTAATTTCATAATGTTCCTGACCATCTAATAAGATAGGCATGGGTGGCGTTTGATCCCCGTGCCATTCACAAGATCCATTGTCCTTTTTCAGAAGGCTGAAATGAAACACAGAATGTAGTGACCGTAAATTCTTAGGCAATTCAACATCAACAGCCACATCATTGATAATTTTACGAACTTTAAAAGGACCAATAAATTTCCAACCCAACTTCCTGCTTGGCCTTAACATTTCGATATTTTTTGTAGACACATACACCGAGTCACCAGGCCGTAGAGCCCAACCCACCACCCTACCTCTATCAGCCTGTTTTTTGTAAGCTGCTTTAGCAGCATCCAGAGTTTTACAGGGATTAGGCCATGCATCCTGAAGTTGTTGACACCATACAGTTGCATCACCCCCTCCCTCCAATTGTCCCCCGTCAAGAAAAGGCATGGGAGGGCTATCATAACCATACAAAGCTTTAAATGGAGACATTCCAATAGATGCATGATCAGAATTATTGTAACAATATTCAGCCAGGGGTAATAATTCACACCAATCGTCCTGTTGATAGTTTGTAAAGCATCTCAGATATTGTTCTAGAGTTTGGTTAACCCTTTCAGTTTGTCCATCAGTTTCTGGGTGGTAAACACTACTTAGTCCACGTTCCACCCCCAACAGAGTCATTAGTTCAGTCCAGAACTTGGAAACAAATTGGGTACCTCTGTCGGATACCACCTTTTTTAGCAACATATGTAGTCTCACCACCTGTGACACGAATGCCCTCGCCAACAGTTTGGCGGTGGGAATGGAGGCGAACGGGACGAAATGGGCTTGTTTTGAGAACAGATCCACCACCACCCAAATAACCGTTTTTCCTTTGCTGGGTGGTAGGTCTGTAATAAAATCCATAGACACGACTTCCCATGGCCAGTTGGGAGTTGGGAGAGGTTTTAGCAATCCAGGGGTTCCCCCGGTTTACTCATTGCACAGGTTTGACATGTTTGCACAAACTTCAACATGTCTTTGCGCATGCGTGGCCACCAAAATTGTCTTTGTAACAACTGGAGGGATTTGAGAAATCCAAAGTGTCCCGCAAGTTTGGACCCATGGGCTGCCTGCATGACCTCCCCTCGCAGGAAAATCGGAACGTACAGTCTCCCATCCTTGTACCAGCAACCATTCTGTCCTTGCTGGCAGTCACCTTCCCCCACCACCTCCTCGCTATCCTCCTCATTGAAATGCGAGAGGAACTGCGTCTCCCATGGGGACGGGGGGGCGGCTGGATGGGTAGGAGAGTGCGAGGCAGGAAGTTTTGCCGCTTGACTGCGAGTTAGTACTGCCCCCCCAAGTGGGTGGGTGTGAAAACCGAGTCCAGAATGACGTCTCATTGACTGGCGTGTTGGGGAAGGCATGACAACCCATCGGCTAGGGAATTTGCCGTCCCAGGGAAATGGTGGAGAGTGAACTGGAACTTAGAGAAGAAATCAGCCCAGCGCAGCTGTTTGGCATTCAGGCTGCGTGGCGTTTTTAGCGTTTCTACGTTCTTGTGGTTAGTCCACACCTCAAACGGCACCCTGGCCCCTTCCAGCCAATGTCTCCACGTCGACAGCGTCAGCTTAATCGCGGCCGCTTCCTTCTCCCACACAGACCAATGTCTTTCAGAATCCGTGAACTTTTTAGAAACATAGGCTAGCGGATGAAGAAGCCCATCATCCCCTTCCTGCAAAATGGCTCCCCCCATCGCTACGTCCGACGCATCAGTTTGCACAATAAACTTTTTTGTTTCATCTGGGTGAGCCAACACTGGCTCAGAAGTGAAGAGGCGTTCAAGCCCTCGAACGCTTCCTGGCATTCAGCTGACCACTGCAACTTAGCTCCCGGCTTAGTGGCATCTGGACCCTTCCCCTTGGTTTTCAATAAATCAGTTAGGGGGAGGCTAATTTGTGCAAAGTTCTTTAGGAAGGTTCTGTAAAAATTGGAGAATCCGAGGAATGATTGTAGTTGCCTCCGGGTTCGGGGCGCCTCCCACCCCACCACATCCCGGACTTTCCCCGGGTCCATCTCCAGCCCCCGTTCGGATATCCTATACCCCAAAAAGTCAATGTAGCAATGTGAGTCTTGTGAAATTCAAACTTGGACAACTTAGCAAACAGTTTGTGCTTGTGCAACGTCTTTAAAACCTCTCTCACCAGTGTCACGTGGGAGGGGAGATCGGGGGAGTAGATAAGGATATCATCTAAATACACAAGGACCCCCTTGAAGAGGTGTTTATGTAGGACCTCGTTTATTAAGTTCATGAACACCCCCGGAGCGCCCTGAAGGCCGAAGGGCATCACCAGGTACTCAAACTGCCCCAGCGGCGTGTTGAACACTGTTTTCGATTCATCCCCCTCTTTTATGCGCACTCTGAAATAAGCATCTCTCAAATCCAGTTTGGAGAAGATTTTTCCTTTAGCCGCCTCCGCCAGTAAGTCTTTGATCAGCGGCATCGGGTAATCCATCTATCCACCCAATGTACTTGGAAGAAAAAAATATTTTTAAAAGAGAGGATATGTTTGGCTCTCTTAATCTTGCTGGGGGGGTAGGGTGGAAGAGGAAGTTGCATGTCTTGTTTTTGTAGGGTTCAAGTCTACAATTCACAGAAATTGCTGGTGAATCAAAACCACAATTACTAGGAAATGGTGCTTAAACATATAAATGCAATCCAGTTAACACAAATCCAGTCCAATTAACACAAACACACCCAGCTTCATGAGTAAGAGGGAGCAAAACAGGAAAGGCATGGATCACTGTGGCCAATTCATGCTTTTTGAGGAAGGCCCATGGCCAGTTTGGTGTAGTGGTTGAGTGCATGGACTCTAATCTGGGACAACCGGGTTTGATTCCCCACTCCTCCACTTGTAGCTGCTGGATGACCTTGGGCAAGCCATAGTTCTGTCAGAGCTGTTCTTGAAAGAGCAGTTTCTGTCAGAGCTCTCCCAGCCCCGCCTACCTCACAGGGTGTCTGTTGTGGGGAGGGGAAGGGAAAGGAGTTTGTAAGCCGCTCTGAGACTCCTTCAGGTAGTGAAGGGTGTGGTATAAATCCAATCTCCTCCTCCTCCTCCTCCTCCTTCTGATATTTCAGTCAAAGCTGACTGAAGGTGCTACATGCCACAGAGGAGACCTAAGCCTCCAACCATAGGCCTCCAGCAAAACTGTGCTTTTAAGGGGACTACAACCCCCTCCAGTAAAGGCTGACCCTTCAGTTGCTTTGTGATTGATCAACAGTATCTCAGTCTTGCATGGGTTGAGCTTTAGTTTATTGGCCCTCATCCTTCCCATTACCTTCTCCAAATATTTGTTCACAATTTCTACAGACCCACCTGACCCAGCTATTAGGATGTATTAGAGCTGGATGTCATCTGCGTATTGGTAACACCTCACTCCAAATCCCCTAATACTCTCTGCCATCAGTTTCATGTAGATGTTAAATAGCAAGGAGGACAAGATAGATTCCTGTGAGACCCCATAGCATACATGTCATTGAGGTGGTCACCAGTCCCCCAGTACCACCCCATCTGCCCTCACCAGAAGGATACCACTGCTGATGCTATTTAAAACCACTGACAGGTCCAGGAGAATCAAGAGGGAAACACTCCCCCCGTCACTCTCCCAGCATAGACAGTCAGGGCAACCAAGGCTATGTCTGTCCCAAACTCAGGCCCCAATCCTGACTGAAATGGGTGTAGTTAATTTGTCCCCTCCAGGACTGTCTGAACCTGAATAGTCAAACATCTTGCCCCAAAATGGAAAGCTGGCCATGGGGCAATAGTTTTTTAGGTTATTGGGGTCCAGGAGTGCCTTCTTCAGGAGACGTTTTTCAGAAGTCCCATCCAAAGAAGAAATAATCTATAAATTATTGGAAATGTGGAAATGGATACTCTGCGATTACAAGATAAAAAAGATGGAAACTCTACAATTACAAGATAAAAAAGAAGACATTTTTGAGAAGAACCGGTCAAGACTTTGATCAAGGACTATCTCACAAAATGTGTAACATAATATTTAAAACATAAGCTCTACTTGCTAAAATGTTAAACTGATCTAGGTGCATAACTCTGACCGCCTGAGCGCCAGAAGAAAAAAACATCCAACCAGCCAGTAGACCGCCGGGAATGGAGCCAAGCCGGACCAAAAGAGACATCAGCCTTCACCTGGGTGCCGGTAGGCAGTCCCACCCCCAAGAACAATGTGGCCTAAGTTAGGGTATAAAAGTGATTAGCACCTCTCCCATGTAAACCGCCCAGAGACCCCTACGGGGGTTAGGGCGGTATATCAAATCGAAGGAATAAATAAATAAATAAATAACAGAATGATTCTATCTATGCAAAATTTAAGTAGGTACAATTAGTACAGACTCCATATTTGTTGTATGTTAGTCTTTCTAGTCTTTCCTGAGAGCCAGTTTGGTGTAGTGGTTAAATGCGCAGACTCTAATCTGAGAAAACCGGGATTGATTCCCCACTCCTCCACTTGCACCTGCTGGATGACCTTGGGCAAGCCATAGTTCTAGCACAGCTGTTCTTGAAAAAGAGCAGTTTGTGTCAGAGCTCTCTCAGCCCCACCTACCTCACAGGGTGTCTGTTGTGGGGAGGAGGAGGAAAGGAGTTTGTAAGCCGCTCTGATACTCTGAGTGAAGGGCGGGGTATAAATCCAATCTCTTCTTCTTCTTCTTCTTCTTCTTCTTCTTCTTCTTCTTCTTCTTCTTCTTCTTCTTCTTTCTCTCTTCGTAGTTGCTGTCTTATTTTCTTTTACTTTTGAAAAACTAATAAAACTCTTTTAACAAAAAAAAAAGGAAACGTTTTTCAAAGTACCTGGATCTACATCCTCCTTGACCCAGTCAACCAAATGAGCCTGGCTTTACACCAACAGCCATGAAGGGCAAGAGCTGAGTCTAGACATGGTGGACTGCACATTTCTAAGCAGCTTGCCCACTTCATCAGGCCTCACCGAATGAAATTCATTCATGCAGGTAGGACCAGACAGTGCTCCAACAGCATCCTGAGCTTTAGCTCAACCAGTCATGGGAACTACGTCGCAGTAGCTGCAAGTGATTTTGTCTGCAAAATGCACAGCAAAAGAGTCACAGGAAGTCAGCATGTTTACAAGGCCAATCTCCTCAGGGGCCTGAGACAAGAGTTCCTTCACCATCCCTGAGAGATTTGCTGGAGGCACTGCATGGATGCGATGGTGGTGGAGAAGTGAGCTTGCTTCACTGCCATTACCACTGCAGAGTAGGCACCAGGGGTCATTTCCTGCAGGAGCGCACAGGAGCAGAGCTCCGGCAGTAAAGAGCCCAGGGGCAGGCACATGCAACCAGCCCCGCCCCCTGCTCCCAGCAGCCCTCAGTCAGAGCAAGAAGAAGCCAGGTAAGTTGCAGAAACACACACACCCCGGTCCAAAACAGTCCAGAGGCACCTTTAAGACCAAGTTTTATTCAGGTACAAGCTCTCCCTCCTCTGCGAGGACAGATCTGCACGTTGCCCCCCTCCCAATAGCTAGCAATCCAAAACAGTCCAGTGGCACCTGAGCAGTGGGTGTTGCCTTCTGACACACTTCCAGTGATGTCAGGGGGTGTGGCATATGCAAATAAGCTATGCTAATGAGTTGTGCTAATGAGCTCCTGCACCTCTTTTTCTACGAAATGACCCCTGGTAGGCACAATAATGCATTCTCACCCATAGTCAGTTGCCGTCAATTTGAGTTTTCCTCCACTCGAAGCATCTGTCCAACCATTTGATCACCCCAAGGTCTCCAGTCAACCATTCTGGGCTCTGCAGAAGGGAAGAGGGCAGTTGGGAACAATTACGTCTACTGCTCAGGTTATCTCAGCATTCCACAGGCCAGTCAGGGCTGAGAAAGGAGCACCAACCTTGCTGACTGTAAGATCCCCAAGACACATCAAGGAACCTTCGGAATCTCTGCCACCCATGGCAGACCCTTGCAGAGGTTCCAACTCTAAACCTCTACCAGATAATATTGATCCAGAGTGAGAGAGAAGGAGGAAAGCTAAATTGATCCCTGAGAACACAATCTGCATTTCAAAGATCACTGTGGCAGAAGAGTAGATTCAGGAAGAAAGGTCAGTGTGCCTATCTAGTTATCTAGTCTCTCTTGCCACTCAGCCTGGAGGTCTGAGACAGGGGACACCGCATCTGGAACTTTTAACAGATAATGGTGGTAGAGTGGGAAAATCCCCCATTACCAAACCATGTACTTTGTCTTAGAGAAAACCAAATAAAACATATGTCCTGCTACATGCACAGGTATCAGGGTGCTCTTGGAGGACCCCATGGTGGCCATGACGTCCTCACTTGCTCCCATCAGAGCAGCTTCAGCATGGTTTTTTCCTGTAAATCAACCTGGCATTGTCCAGGGATGCTGAATGGAATGTCTCCTTCTCCAGAGCTGTCTGTAGTCCACTCAGAATCTTTTGCACCTCAGTCATTGTTCCTGCCAATTAGAGTGTATTCTGGTGTGATGTGCTGGTTGTGTTTGTGATGCGGAGACCACCAGGGATGCAAGGCATGGGCCACACAGCCTTTCATCTTGAGCCAAAGGCTCATGCCTCTGGCAAGCTGTCCTGTCTGTTTAAACTACCCAAAAGACAGGGTACACCAGGAGAATCAGCTTCCAGTGAGCTGACAAGCTGTTTCAGCCCATAGCCCCCCCTCCCCCGCACTCCTGATTCATCCATGAAAACCCTCTGGTGCATCCAAGTTTGATCCAGTAAGTTTTGTGCATGTATTAGCATGCTGAATGCTGTCAGCGGCTGGATTTTACCTTCTCTGTAGGTGCAAAGACAGCACATACACTCTAGCATAGCAGCTTTTAAGTTCTACATGATCTGGCCCATTATGACCCTTGGCCGTGCACAACCCAAAGAAGCAAGAAAATTGCAAGTGTGCGTCAAGAGTGGCTAAATGCTGCTTAGTTTGCATTGTGAGTCAGTTGTTGAGGCAACCATTTTAAGTGCTTGACCAGTAATGGGTACCGTGAATGAGGAATGTCAGATTTCTGAATACCTCTTTGCAAATATTGTATCTTCCCTGATTTTTAGCAATGGTTCACTCCAATGGTTGGCCAAATGGAGCACTGAGAAAGCAAATAAATGCAAATAGGTGTTGTGGGCTTTTCTAGAGAAAGAATCCTCAATTGCAAATAATCCAGTATTGTCGTAGTGGGGCAGGAGCTGGCAAAGAGAATTGCCCCATAGTTAATATATCATGAAAGCCAACAGTCTAATATCAGTCAAGCACCTGGCACTTTTAGTTTTAGCACCTTGATCTGTTATTGAACATTTCTTCAACAGCGTCTGAAATTCTACCCATAAAAGAGGGTGCAGTTATCTTGCAAGGGACTTCGGGACTTTTGACCATGAACACCTGATATTAGACTTAACAGATGGCAAGCACCGGGCAGAGGGCTGCTCTGTCAGGTCAGGCTGTGC